CGTCATATTATGGAACGAAAGAATAATTTTCAGGAGTACCACTATTTGATGTCTTGGATTGTGGCTTGGGAACTATTCTGGCTGATGTATGCAAGCGTCTTGCGGTCTTCTCGGGTCTAATGAAAAACTCTTTACCACTTAGATGCCTGTCTCACTACCCTTAATAGCAACTTTGGCGTGTACAGCGTCGAAAGCACAAGTCTTGACTCTAAGATCCTATGGCCAGGAATACAAATTAATGTTTGTTCATAATGTTTCCAGAAGGGCTCAAGAGTCTTTTTTAGCTAAAATTTATTCTGTTGACGATCATGCTCCTTACTAGGCATGGTTGTTGACACTAAATTGCTGGCCTCAGCACTCTGTTGTTAGCTCACCCCCGAAATACCATGCTGCCATTGCCGGCGTAGTCTCCAGGACATCGGCGTTGTTAACGTATGAGATGTACGTTCCAGTTGAGTTACTATGAGTTAGTTAGATAATAATCAAGTGGATCCGCACTCAGCCGGAACACCATGTGGAATGGACAGGTCAGCTAACTCACGCAACATACTCCTCAAGATTGTGTTTGTTAGGTATTCCCTTGAGTGCATGTACACAATGTTACACATCGATAGCGTCACCAAGTCACTGTACTGTAGTTATTCACGTATAAACGTATATGTATATGTTACACATTGATAGCGTCACCAAGTCACTGTACTGTAGATATTCACGTATAAACGTATATGTCTATGTTACACATCGATAGCGTCACCAAGTCACTGTACTGTAGTTATTCACGTATAAACGTATATGTATATGTTGCACATCGATAGCGTCACCAAGTCACTGTACTGTAGTTATTCACGTAAACGTATATGTATATGTTACACATTGATAGCGTCACCAAGTCACTGTACTGTAGTTATTCACGTATAAACGTATAGGTATATGTTACACCTTGATAGCGTCACCAAGTCAGCTATGTGCAGCAGTTGACTCGAGTCACTGTACTGTAGTAATTCACGTATAAACGTATATGTATATGTTACACATCGATAGCGTCACCAAGTCACTGTACTGTAGTTATTCACGTATAAACGTATATGTATATGTTACACATTGATAGCGTCACCAAGTCACTGTACTGTAGTTATTCACGTATAAACGTATATGTATATGTTACACCTTGATAGCGTCACCAAGTCACTGTACTGTAGTTATTCACGTATAAACGTATATGTATATGTTACTCATCGATAGCGTCACCAAGTCACTGTACTGTAGTTATTCACGTATAAACGTATATGTATATGTTACACATTGATAGCGTCACCAAGTCACTGTACTGTAGTTATTCACGTATACATGTGTATGTTACACTCAGTATTACGGTATTTAGGTACGTGTATGTAAAGAATCCCCAAGAATGCAAGAATGTCGCCCAAGACTTCCACAGCGACCTATAACTGATGGAGGCATCCCTCCAGTAACCGGGTACGCCGATGACATAACGTTCTACTCTACCAGTAAACCTTGGCTCGAGGAATCACTGCCCGTCATATCCTGGACACTGCAGTCTTGGAACCTAAAGGTAAATGAGCAAAAACGGAATGGGTGCACTTTACGCCAGGCGATTCATCCTGGCGGAGCATCAGGCAGCTTGGCTCTCTTATGGGGGGCGCTGAGGATATCGACAGGCGAATTTCGCTAGCATCCCAAGCATACGGTAGTATGTGCAGCCTCTGGCTGCGTCGCAAGCATGTGTCAGAAAGGTCCAAGCTCAAGCTGTACAGCTCGCTTGTGCTGCCTGTCCTCCTTTACAACTGTGAGACTTGGGGAGTACCCCAGGCAGTCTTTCAGCGACTTTACTGTTTTCACGGCCGACAGCTCAGAAACCTGGTGGAAGTGCGATATCCAGACAGAATTACGAATGACGATCTGTATTCCAGATGTGGCTCGTAGCCACTGTCGGAGCTTGTTGCCAAGCGACGCCCTGCCGAGCAATTCGCTTACCGAGCCCACCACTCCACAGAGGACGCAGTCTTGTTGGCTGTGGATCAATTTTACGAAGCCGCAGACCAGCACCTGCATACCGGTGTGGTGCTCATTGATATGAGCGAAGCTTTCGACAAGGCCCAACATCAGACCTTGCTCCAGGATCTCTTCGAACTTGGTGTCTCCTCTACGGCACTGGACTGGTTTGCGGACTACCTCAGCGCACGACGCCAGTGTGTGGTCACTGCCAGCGGTACACGCTCAGAGGAAACAGCTTGCACGTGCGGTGTCCCCCAGGGAAGCGTGCTTGGTCCGATATTATTCGCGATCTACACGAGATGTGTCGCATCAGTAGCTGACCCGGTGCGTACACTAATGTTCGCGGACGACATCATGCTGTACCTGAGCCACGCTACCGCTCACGCCATCAACATCACCCTTTCCGCAGCAGTGTCGGCTGTCGCCAGGCTACTCGATGCCAAAGGGCTTATTCTCAACACCGGAAAGACGCAAGTGCTTGCAATCAAAGCTGGACGGCAGGCACACCTCGACCTCCACATTACTTGCACTGGCACGCCTCTTGCCCAGACCAGTACGGCTCGCTACCTCGGAGTCACTCTGGACGAAAATCTTCGCAAGTCACCTCTATCGTCCGACGCACGGCTATGAAGCTGCGGATCCTCCGCCAGATCCGGCACTGCCTAACAGTGCGGCAGGCGATGCTGTATTACTCTGCCCTTGTCATACTGGATATTCTATATGCGTCGAATGCGTTTCTCCCAGGACTGTCCGCTGAGCAGCGGAACACAGTAGCCAAACTGGATAAACGTTGCATCCGTTGCGTGGCCGATGAGCACCCATTGGCCCACACTCTTCCCCTGTACACCAGGCTGGGTGTCTGCCCAGTTCTGGAACGAGGGAATGCAAGCTCCGACTCCCGACATTTAGAATCCGTTCTGGAATCGTCAGTGAGCTGCTGTCCTCCCGAATTGTATTGCAAGGCCCGCCGACAGGCATGACCACTCGAGGTCAATTGGGACGCAACCTTCCCCTCCCCCTGGCCCACAGTGCTTCTGGCGCATGCCGACCGCTTCTAGCCAGCTGCCGACTCTGGAATGGCCTGCCCGACTGTATGAAGTCCATAGTAAATTTGAGATCCATTTTTTCTGCTCGTCTTGACCCTGCCTCCCCTCATTGCTACTTCCGTTTTCGTATTTTTATTTTCATATATTTTCTCTTCATTTCTGACTCTTCTTACTGGTTGTCATCGCTTTCATAATATTGGGCAGAACTGCCCGTTTGCCATGCGATGTAAAATAAATAAACAACAACAACAACAACAACAACGCCGTAGCCTCACTGGCCATGTGCTGAGGATGAGTGAGCAGTCACCCCCTTGCCTTGCGATGTCCTGCTATTTTCAAGCGGGGTCACGTGGACGAAGGGGCCGTCCCGCGGCTACTCTCCCTTTCACCATCATGAAGGACCTGACAGGGCACGACATCCCTTTGAAGAATGCCAGCGACCTAGAAGGAGCACGAGCATTTGCTGCAGACAAGTCGAAATGAAGATAAGACATTGTTTATGGATGAGTTTTTGTTGACTGGAGACAGAAGCGGACTTGGCTTAATTTCAGTGTATTCTCATTCATTGTTCTTTGGCCTTTGTACGCGTGCTGTGGTGTTATTATTATTATTTTTTAAAGAATCCCCAAAGGCTGTATGTCACACTTCCGTGTATATCGATCGTTATCTCCATAGTATTCATGTGTAACAACTAGCCATTTCCCGGTCATGCAAAGTGAGGCGGTTGTACAGCCACGCGAGCCGTGTTGCATGTTGTTGGCATATCTCATTGCACACCATTTAGCGCAAGAGCTGACATTGGGCAGGGTTGATTTAAAAAACTCCTGCAGCCATTCTCCAAGCGCAGACCTCATCATAACAGCTGTAGGCGTCAATGCTGGAAACCTCTAGTCTTTCATCTGGGGTATAAATTATGTGCAAACTGTACGTCTACATCTGTGTACAGATCACGAGGGATCTGTAGCACATTATCTACAGAGGCATCGCGACCTAACCTGGCACATGAATACTATGGAGATAACGATCGGTATACACGGAAGTACAGCCTGGGATCTGTAGCACATTATCTACAGAGGCATCGCGACCTAACCTGGCAGAGTGATCAATGCCTGTGAACAGCGGAGTGCAGCACAAAAGAAATACAAAAAGGAGTGTACCGTAGGAGAGTGTTCGTTGTAACGAAATTTGGCCACCAATCATAGGCCAACAGCTTTCGCTTCGCATGTACATTTGCAATGGGGCCCACATGATAGCTCCTTGGCCTGACTTCTATCTGATCCCCGTAACCAGTACAGCCTGTACTCCCTTGCTGATGCTATTGTTCAGTAGCTGGGGTCATTACCTTTCCATTGACATGATGTCACACAATCATACCGGCATATGCCGGGCTTGAACTCAAAAGACTGCCGCGCTATGCGCAGAGGCACAGCGGAGGACTGATCTCGACAAGATGCATACTGGACCTCGGGAAGAACACTTGATTATTGTCTTATGTGGCCTCGAATTAGTGTGAAACAGAAGGATTCTAGAACTTCTAAGTTAGAGCGTTACCGCGGTGGAATGAACATGATCACAGAAACCTGCCCACGGCGATTGCCTGGTGATAGACGACTCATTGCGAGTGACCTGTGCGCACACTGTAACAGCGGTGACGGTGAGAATGTGTGAGTTGTGCAAGTAGGCGCGCACGGCATGCCTGCGCACAACCGGTCCTGCGTCGCCATGTACATCATTTCGTATGTAATTCCACTTGTACCCACCAGATAACAAGACGCGAAAGAGTTATCCAGTTATCTCATCCTTGGCACTGAAAGGGTTAACCATGAAATGAGGATGTATTTGCGGGGGGGGGGTATAATTATGCTCTTGCATATACTCGTTGTAGTGAACAAGCCGAGGGTGAATCGCTGGAGCAAAGCAATGCCAATATGGCAGAGGTGGGGTTCGCTCGCGCAACTCGTGCGACATCCAAATGTACTGGGTAAATTATTTTGGAAATGAGGTGACAAAATGTTGGAATCTTGCCATAGAGGGAATCTTGCCATAGAATACTAATGCTAGTACAGTATCGGGGAAAGATCAGCGCAAAGAGATCGGTACGATATGAAGCGTAGGTGGGGCACATAGAGGCTTTGCCAATGACGTAATCATTACTATTCGATATCATGCGTTGAGTGGCAGAGCGGTGCTTTTCAGGCCAGGAAGCGTAAATCAACTGATACAATGACGCAAAGGAAGAGAGTCTGCAAGAGGAGAAGCTCAACTAGTACAATCATATGAAAAGAAAAGAAGTAAAGATCAGTGCTTACGAAGTGAACAAAATCGCAGTGTCGGAAAGTTGCTTGGCGATAGAAGTATAGCGTTGTACAATAGAGTTCAGATACGGCGGGCCTGCTAGCGACTGTCTCCATCCGCACTCGAGTCATCGTCCCCAGATGAGTCTTCACTGATAGATGACGCGGAATCTACGGATACGGAATCAACCGAGTCCACAGACACAGAGTCGACGGAATCTGAGCTGCGAGTATCCAGCCGTCGCATGACCTCCTCGACCAGCCGCGTGCCTTTCACTACTGCAGTAAAACACGTACACGTACATTCATACAAAGCGTATTATAATAATGGCAACTCCACCTCAACCACATACGCTCTCTGGTTGACCTCATCAAAACAGCAGCTTGGCTTCAAGTTGTAGATTCTGACAAATAAACTTTCCTCCAGACAGTGCTGTTTTGACCACTAAGGTCACATCCGTGAAGGTTGAACATAATAAATGGATAGACATAATGTAATCAGTGATGGGGATGCTGGGGTGATTGAGAGCGGATGTTCTGGAGGTGGAATTGCTTCGTAGATAAACAGGCCGAAAGCTGCTGCTCACCCTTTGAGTATACTCATGGCTTAAACGTTAAGCGTTCAGTTTTCTAACAGTACTCTGATGGCTTTACATCATGCCAGATATGGTGCGGAAGTCAGCTTCTATAATAATGTACGGAGCAAGTTTCATGGGAGAAAGCAGGTTAGGTCTGGTTCATGCCTTTCTTTGCGTACTATTAAGTGAAACGCGTAGTAAAGTCCATCCTGTCGAGACTTTTGACTTAAACTCATGCTCAACTTGTTGGCGCGACAATCGCGCGAAGAGTTGCTGGTACGCGACATGAAGTATGGACCTGGCCTTAGTTTATGTTTAGCGCGTTGACATTTCAAGGGAAAACCAGCAGCGCCCGATATGGAGTATTTCATCTAGACGTGTTTTCTTACGTCTACGTAGTCTCTACCTTTGATGACGTCACAGTGCCTACAAACCCTGGCCGATTGTCAGCCATAAACCACTTCAAATATTGGGAAGTTCTAGACAGGCAGACCGCGTGAAAACCCGGGCAATATTCACCCTCAGTGTTTGTGCCGCCAATACAGCTCAGGATTTCACAATACCATGGAGTCGTAGATTAAAGTGATATGGTTGGGGAATTCCCCCCACTAAGAAGCCTTCATGGCCAATCTTACCCTTCTTAGCAGTGGAATCCGCAGGCTGGCTGAACACCACAGCTAACACCAACAGCAATGCTGGGAGAGTAAATACAGACGTCTTCATTTTGCTGATCAATCACTTCTCTCAAACCGAACGAAAACTTGCTTGCTCTTCAAGAGGCTTTTCACTAACAGGGACGAACGACGAGGAATATTCCAATTACTGGGATGTACTCGAGCCAGGGTCTTTATAACCTTGTGAGTTTGCCGATAAGCGCACGGGAAATAGCAGCAGGCTGAGAGAGCGTGAATGGGCTGGGGCGGATTACAATGGTCAATGGTGAGCTTCTTATCGCAGTCTGTACCTCACTAGTAAAGAATGTTTGTTGAGGATAAACGCCAGTCTCGTGGAGATATTCTTGCCAACAGTGTGACAATGGCAGCGAAATGCCCGGCCTGAAATCATACACCATAGTCTGTCTAAGCAATGTGAACCAACGCGCAGCGCGCAAGATCAAGGTTTGGATCATTGTCGCCTAGTTGAGTCGAGCTAGCTGTACGCCCGGGGCCTAGAGGCCGAGAGGTCCCTGGCATGTAGGGCGAACTTCCCCGTGTCTCTTCGCCAAGACAAAGTATACAATCTACACAATACTGGGCGAAACTACCACACTTCTGAAATGAAGTCGATAATAATCATCTTTTAGAGCATTGTTTGGGGTAGGTAGGCGAGCGTAGAGCCACGGTTTGAAGTGACATGCACAGATACGTCCAGAGCAAGGTTGGAAGATGGGAATTAAAGGTCATAGTGACAGTGGGCCTGCATGTATACGACCACTGCAAGGTCATAGTGACAGTGGGCCTGCATGTATACGACCACTGCAAGGTCATAGTGACAGTGGGCCTGCATGTATACGACCACTGCAAGGTCATAGTGACAGTGGGCATGCATGTATACGACCACTGCAAGGTCATAGTGACAGTGGGCCTGCATGTATACGACCACTGCAAGGTCATAGTGACAGTGGGCCTGCATGTATACGACCACTGCAAGGTCATAGTGACAGTGGGCCTGCATGTATACGACCACTGCAAGGTCATAGTGACAGTGGGCCTGCATGTATACGACCACTGCAAGGTCATAGTGACAGTGGGCCTGCATGTATACGACCACTGCAAGGTCATAGTGACAGTGGGCCTGCATGTATACGACCACTGCAAGGTCATAGTGACAGTGGGCCTGCATGTATACGACCACTGCAAGGTCATAGTGACAGTGGGCATGCATGTATACGACCACTGCAAGGTCATAGTGACAGTGGGCCTGCATGTATACGACCACTGCAAGGTCATAGTGACAGTGGGCCTGCATGTATACGACCACTGCAAGGTCATAGTGACAGTGGGCCTGCATGTATACGACCACTGCAAGGTCATAGTGACAGTGGGCCTGCATGTATACGACCACTGCATGGTCATGGTGACAGTGGGCATGCACCTACAACTACAACTGCCAGCAGTCATCCCACGAGACAATAATCACAAAAACGATCTTATCCCGCTGCATCAGTTAGGGTCCGCCTGAGCTGTGCGTACCCTCGTGCTTGTGAGATCAGTGGCGAGATATGTCCATGTCACAGTGCTTAAATGTATACTAGAACAAGTGTATAAATATGTGTGTGTGTGTTTGTGTGTGTTTTTTGGTTGCGTGTGGTATGGCAGGGAGGGGAATGCGGTGTGCGTGTGTTTGTGTTTATGCGTGGTAGGGGTGGGGAAGCGGTGTGTGAGTAAACACAATTCGCGTACGTGATGATTGCAATGAGCATGAAGTGCAGAGTCAACTACAGGAGAATGCACTGATGCCGTGATGGTCACGGCGTGACGCCCAAGCTCCGCTTGCACTACGTAGTTCCCGTCTCCTCCTGACATGGCATTAAATATTAACGTAGCAGCATTACTATCTGAACTGAAGCCCTATCAAGGGATAGATAGCATCGGCCGTTAGTGATGTGAGTTAGTGATGTGAGGCGATCAAGTTTGCTAGCTGCATGTTTACATACGTGACAAGCTAGAGTGTTGGCAGGGCCATGTGCTCTACATGACATTGTGCATGATTGTAGCAGTCCTAGCATGAATCATTTCAATAGCATCGTAGCCTATGCGTACAGACTTGAGTCGCTTAAAAAATGTACAAAGCAAGGCAAACGTACGTGTAGCTAAATCGAGTCTTAAATGTATTTTTAAACTCTGATCGACGGCAAGAAAGGTCCTGGACCGTGGTTGCTCTGTTGCTGTTTGTGAATTGTAATTGCACATGTACATGACTGTAGATGTACATGACCATTGTATATGCGTCGAATGCGTTTCTCCCAGGACTGTCCGCTGAGCAGTGGAACACAGTAGCCAAACTGGATAAACGTTGCATCCGTCGCGTGGCCGACGAGCACCCAGTGGCCCACACTCTTCTCCTGTACACCAGGCTGGGTGTCTGCCCAGTGCTGGAACAAGGGGAATGCAAGCTCTGACTCCTGACATTTAGAATCCGTTCTGGAATCTTTAGTGAGCTGTTGTCGTCCCGAATTGTATTGCAAGGCCCGCCGACAGGCATGACCACTCGAGGTCAGTTGGGACGTAACCTTCCCCTCCCCCTGGCCCACAGTGTTTCTGGCGCATGCCGACTGCTTCTAGCCAGCTGCCGACCGCTTCTAGCCAGCTGCCGACTCTGGAATGGTCTGCCCGACTGCATGAAGTCCATAGTATCTGTCCGTGAATTCAAACTCATGCTACGCGTATTTTACTTCGGTTAAATGTAATGGCTTTCGTAAACCTGCTGATGAGGCTCGATAGAATAATGCTACGATGACCCGACTTGTAAATTTGAAATCCATTTTTCTGCTCGTCTTGACAATGCCTCCCCTCATTGCTACTTCCATTTTCGTTTATTTATTTATTTATTTTTCTCTTCATTTCTGACTCTTCTTACTGGTTGTCATCGCTTTCATAACATTGGGCAGAACTGCCCGTTTGACATGCGATGTAAAATAGATAGACAACAACAACAGCAACCATAATGTACATGTTGTACACAACCAAGCATAGCTGGACAGGGGCAGTTCTATCTTCGGCAAGCTCGATTTACGATCTGGGTACAATCAGATCAGGATTCGAGGGGAGGATGCCTCGAAGACCGCTATTAATACTCCATTGCACACTATGCGTTCAGAGTAATGGGGTTCGGTTTAACCAATGTTCCCGCTACCTTCCAAGCGCTCATGAATTCGGTCCTCCAGCCCTAATGTGTAGTAGGGTTTCTGGATGAAATCCTGTTATTTTATTTGGCAGTCTTCTGACGAGCCAGGAGATAATGAATTAATAATATTTAGCAAACCATGGGAATAACACCTGCAGCATATTGAAGCGGTACTGGAGGCATTACGAACGATTCGGCTGTTAGTCAAGTAGTCTAAAATGTGAATTTGTAGCCAAGAGAGTGCTGTTTAGAGTGGCAAGATGACGAAGCTGTGCCATTTTCTCGTAAATCAGGGTGGCATGAGAGTGCGTACGCAACGTGGGTGATGGCGGATAGTGAAGTAAAAATCCGTTAGGAAATTCAACCCATCTAGCTTCTCGCCGAGTAAGGTTAGCCTTGGTCTGCAAATAGACTACTGCACCCATGTTAAACCTCAACAGATCAAAATTACCAAACAGTTTAATACGCGAAGTCTTTAGTGCAAACACGACGGCCAAAGTTTCTCCCTCTGCAGCTGTGTAGTTCCGTTCTGCGGACGATAATTTACGCCTAGCGTATGCTACTTACTGGATGCCACCCAGTGTCATCCGCTTGTTGTAGTAGGACTCCAGCAACAGCGAAATCACTTGCATCAGTTGCCACTCTAAACTCTCTGCTGACATCTGCTAACCTCAGAACGGGAGCACCTAGTAATGCTGATAGTCGATCTGATTTTTTCAAAGGATTTTGGCGTGCATTAAAAAATGTACATTCTTTCCAGTTCATTCTTCTAATGTCCTCGAAACTTCGAAAGTGCAGAGAACTGATCAATGAATCTTCCAAAGTAGTTCGAAAACCCAAGGAACTGTCTTATTTGAGCTATGGATGAGGATGGCGCCCGAGTTTTGACAGGTTAGATCTTCTTGGGGTCGGGTGATATACATTGGCCGTCACTCTGGTGCCCAATGAACAGTACATCTTTGGCACCAAATTCACATGCTTGCATAACAGCTGATTCGTGCGGAATGCCCCCAGTGCAGCTTCGATATGCCGGAGGTGTTCTTCCCAGGATTTGCTAAATATTTGAATATCGTCCAGGAACACTACACATTAGGATTGGAGGACAGAATTCATGAGCGCTTGGAAGGTAGCTGGAGCATTGGCTAAGCCGAACCCCATTACTCCGAACTAATAGTGTCCAAATGGAGTATTGATAGTGGTCTTCGAGACATCCTCCACTTGAATCCTGATCAGATTGTACCCAGATCGTAAATCGAGCTTGCCGAAGATAGAGCTGCCTGTGTCTAGCTATGCTTGGTTATGTACAGCAGGTGTAGGTAGAGTTATGTATTTTAGAGTCATGTTCTTGTTCATGTACAGACATGTACATGTACATGTATATTTACTAGGGGTAAAACGAAGGTGTCAAAGGTTCGAAGAACCTTCGTTTTCACTTCAAACGAAGGTCGACACACGATTTCTTCATGCACGCATGCACTGATCTTCCCTGTATACACGCGTACTGTACTGTAGTTTGTACAGTTGACTAGTTGTGTGTCCACTTGGGTCCCGGTATGTGCATGTGCAACGTAGGCCACGGACTGCGCTTGAGCGCCCATCATGCACGTTCAAGTAGTCTTGTGCAGTTGGGGAGGGGGGGGGGGGGGGTGGGGGGGGGGGGAACTGTGCAGCGCAAAAACTATGGGCGTGCCACTTTGTGGTGACTGCATTATTGCATAACAAGTATGTGTACGCTGTACAGTCATGTACCTAGTAATACTAATAGTATCATTACTTTAGCATGGCACATGCACAAAGTGCGCTTCAACGGAAACTGTGAATTGGTAAAAGAATCCTTCGACACCTTCGTTCGCTTAGATGAAGAATGTTCGTTTGGCAAACTGAGACCTTTGTTCCACCCCTAACATGTACTATTCACAAACAGCAACAACAGAGCAACCAGGTCTTTTTTGCCGTTACTTGGAGTTTAAAAATACATATAAGACCCAATTCAGTCATACGTGTGCCTTGGTTTGTACATTTTAAGCGACTCAAATCTGTACTCATAGGCTACGATGCTATTGAAATGATTCATGCTAGTACTGCTACAATCATGCACAATGTCATGTAGAGCACATGGACCTGCCAACACTCTAGCTAGCTTGTCACGTCTGTCATAATTATATGAATTCCTTTGCCATAACAACATCGACCAGGGCAACTACATGTCCATGTAATAGAATGTTTGATAGTTTAAGGAAGCTCATGTAGCTAGCAAACACGTAGGTAGCAAACTTACTCTCCTCACATCACTAATGGCCGATGCTATCTATTTCTTGATAGGGCTTCAGATAGTAATGCTGCTACGTTAATATTTAATGCCAGGCCAGAAGGACATGAGCACGTAGTGCAAGCGGAGCTTCGGCGTGACAATCACTGCATTCTCCTGTAGTTGACGCTATATTGCATGCTCATTGAAATCATTAGGTACGCATAATACTGTAGGCATACGTGTACTCACAAACAGCTTCCCCACCCATACCACACACAAGCACAAACACACCGCATTCTCCTCCTAGCCATATGACACACAAACACACATACACGCCCGCACGGGCGTACGCATACACACACCAAACATATACACATTGTACATTAGACATGCATACAGTGTGACACAGACACACATCCCACCACTGATCTCTCACGCACGAAGGCGCGCAGAGGCCGATCGGGCCCTAACTGATGCAGCGGGATAAGATCATTTTTGTGATATTGTCTCGTGGGATGACTGCTGGCAGTTCTAGCTGTAGCTGCATGCCTACTGTCACCATGACCTTGATGTGGACGTATATGGACATGTTACTTCAAACTGTGGCTCTACTCCCGCCTACCTAGCCAGAACAATGTTGTAAAAGATGATATCAACTTCGTTTCCCGTGGAGGAAATGTGGAATTTTCGTTCAGTAGTGTGTGGAATGGATACTTTGTCTTGGCAGTGAGACACGGGGAACGTCTACACGTCTGAGGGGTGTGTGCCCCGGCCTCTCGGCCCCAGGCATACAGCTCGCCCGACTCGACTCGGGGACAATGTTCCAAACCTTGATCTCATGCCCTGCGCGTTGGTTCACATTGCTAAGACCCACTATGGTGTATGATTTCAGGCCGGGCATTTCGCTGCCATTGTCACACTGTCACACAAGAATATCTCCACGAGACTGGCGTTTATCCTCAATAAACTTCCTTTTCCTAGTTAGGTACTGACTGCGATTAGAAACTCGCCATCCTAATCCGCCCCAGCCCATTCACGCTCTCTCAGGCTGCTGCTATTTCCCGTGCGTTTATCGGCAAACTCACAAGGTTATAAAGACCCTGGTCGCAGTAATGGCCAGTAATTGGACTATTCCGCGTCATTCGTCCCTGTTAGTGAAAGACCTCTTGAAGAGCAAGCAAGTTTTCGTTCAGTTTGAGAGGCGTGATTGTTCAGCAAAATGAAGACGTCTGTATTTACTTTCCCAGCATTGCTGTTGGTGTTAGCTGTGGTGTTCAGCCAGCCTGCGGATTCCACTGCTAAGAAGGGTAAGAGTGGCCATGAAGGCTTCTTAGTGGGGGGAATTCCCCAACCATATCACTGTAATCTACGACTCCATGGTACTGTGAAATCCTGAGCTGTATTGGGAGTACAAATACTGAGAGTGAAAATTGCCGGGTTTTCACGTAGCCTCCCCGTATAAAAAAGGTTAATCCGGATTCGCGGTCGAATTACCTGACGTGTAACACATCAAGCAGATACATTTGCATCCGCGGGCCACCACTTCGCCCATGTATATTCAGTGTCGAATGCAGCCCAAACAATTGAGTCAGGGGAGGGGGGATAAGTCTCTCAACAAGCGGGCGTGTAAAGGCCCTATAATAATAATAATACAGCACGCATATAGCGCATATGAAAAATCAAAATGAGGGTCATGCATATGTCGACAACGTCGAGCCAGTGCGTTCTGTCCGAGGCAAGTTGCTCCGCTTCCAAAAGAGACATAGTGAGAAGTAAAAGGCCCTATAATCACATAAAAACCGCATCCTTGTATAAAATATCTTATCTACATGTAAATGATTAAAAAATGTTTTATGGCTGATAATTGGCCACGGTTTGTAGGTACTGTGACGTCATCAAAGGTAGAGACTACGTAGACGTAAGAAAACACGTCTAGATGAAATACTCCATAACGGGTGATGATACTCCATAACGGGTGATGATACTCCATAACGGGTGATGATACTCCATAACGGGTGATGATACTCCATAACGGGTGATGATACTCCATAACGGGTGATGATACTCCATAACGGGTGATGATACTCCATAACGGGTGATGATACTCCATAACGGGTGATGATGGTATTCCCTTCAAATGTCATTATCTACAACTTGAAGCCAAGCTGCTGGTGTGATGAGGTTGGCCAGAGAGTGTATGTGGTAGAGGTGGAGTTGCCATTATCATAATACGCTTTGTATGAATGTACGTGTTTCGAATTCTAAATGCAGTTACGAAATTCACGAGGCTGGTCGAGGACGTCATGCGGGTGCTGGATACTCGCAGCTCAGATTCCGTCGACTCTGTGTCTGTGGACTCGGTTGACTCCGTATCCGTAGATTCCGCGTCATCTATCAGTGAAGACTCATCTGGGGACGATGACTCCAGTGCGGATGGAGACAGTCGCTAGCAGGCCCACCGTATCTGAACCCTAATGTACAACGCTATACTTCCACCGCAAGGCAACTACCCGACACCGCGATTTTGTTCACTTCGTAAGCACTGATCTTTCTTTTTTCTTTTCTCTTCTTTTCTTTTCTTTTCATATGTTATAGTACTAGTTGAGCTTCTCGTTTTGCAGATTCTCTTCCATTACGTCATTGTATCAGTTATTCTCTTCCATTACGTCATTGTATCACTTGATTTACGCTTCCTGCCCTGACAAGCACTGCTCTGCCACTCAACGCATAATATCGTATAGTAATGATTACGTCATTGGCAAAGCCTCTATGTACCCCACCTATGCCTCATATCGTACTCTTGCGCGAATCTTTCCCCGGTTCTGTACTAGCATCAATATTCCACAGCACGTTTTCAGCAGCCCTTGGCGGATTATGATGGAATAATTTCTAGCATAATCTTCGGATTTTGTCTAAAAATGATGCCCTGGCATAAAAGAACTTCCGACACCACACGGTCGGCATAACCCTACTATCCTGGCTGAAGATTAATGCTCCAGGCATATTTAGGCATGTTACAGGAAGTAACCAAGTGAATGCTACCCCTTACAAGCTGTGCTGTCAAGGTGCCAGAGTCATTGTAGCTTTGTAAAGTCTTTTAAAAATTGCAACAAGAGTGCAAGGGATCCATCATTGCCAACCTGCAAGAAAGCACCACTCCCTGCTCAATACACAGTGTTTCGGGGAATTCACCCCTCATCAGTTGAGCTTGAGTAGGCTGAGGAAGATTGTGCCTGAAGAGCACCACTTATATAGTGCTCTCCAGGCACAAACATCACCAGGGATACAAAGTCGTGAGTCAGTCAAGTGTCAAGTAAAGTCGGCGGAATAGCGCGAGCTCCGGTGTGGGGAGCAAACCTTTCTTACAAATCATCGCCGAAGTCGCAACCACTACTTCGTACTGTTGTGCCCAGCGCGGGCTGGCGACTAGTTGGTTTGGAGGTGACAGCGTTGCGAATGACCGAGGGTCCTCGACGTCTGTCTCACCGTCCAGGAGCGACAATGACTCACGCTGCTATCTGGTGTTCACGAGGTGTTTATCGCGCTGGAAGCGGAGCGTCTCTGTAAGTTTGTATCCCTGGTGATGTTTGTGCCTGGAGAGCACTATATAAGTGGTGCTCTTCAGGCACAATCTTCCTCAGCCTACTCAAGCTCAACTGATGAGGGGTGAATTCCCCGAAACACTGTGTATTGAGCAGGGAGTGGTGCTTTCTTGCAGGTTTGCCGAGTCGAAGGTTCGATGGACTTCTCGTGTGCTCTGGATGGCAGTCGTGAGTCAGTCAAGTGTCAAGTAAAGTCGGCGGAATAGCGCGAGCTCCGGTGTGGGGAGCAAACCTTTCTTACAATATCATTATTGATGACATTAATATACTGAATGAATGGCAAAGGCCATGTGAATACGGATAATACGGATAATCAGAGTACCAACAACAAAGAATGTAGCTCAAACCATTGCAGTGCCAACTTCCTTCACCAGTACTCTGCCTTGTACGCATCTGTAACTGCGTTGCACAGATATGTCCATTCACGGCGATCCAGTGCTCGCTGAGCCATCAGCTGCAAGTCCCTTGGAGTCCTCAGACGGCAGCCGACTCGCTCCGCGTCCTGATTCAGCAGGACCGGTAGCGTGATCCGCGGCCGCCCACGGTATCCCGGCACGGAGCAGCCAAAGAATCCACTCATGGCCTCCCTAGCCGGTGTGTGCTCATCTGATCGCAGGATGTGGCCAAACAACCGCCATCTTGCATTCACCAGAATGTTGCCAAGTGGAGCAGCACTGCAGCGCTCGTAAACCAAATCGTTCGACAGTCGGTTGGGCCACCTGATACCCAAGATATGCCGAAGTTGCCGCCGATGATACGATTCCGGCGCTTCAATTGTCTGTCGAGTGATGCCCCATGTGGAGCAGTTGTAAAGCAAGACAGGTAACACGAAGCAGTTATACAGCCGGACGCGCACCTCCAGACTCACTTGGTCTCTTCTCTTCCATAACTGGCAGAGGGACTTAAACGCTATCGCCGCAAGCTGCTTTCTGCGCTTGACATCCTCTGCATCACCAAGGAGAGAGCCGAGTTTCTTGACCATACGCCATGGCTCATCAGCACGATCGGCCTCTCGCTGGATGGCTGTGAATTCTGTCTTGGTCTGGTTGACGGTAAGGGACCATGTACCCAAGATGGTGGCAACTTGTGGCTCTAACATCCGAAGCCAATCACTAGAGATACTGATGAAGTCCACATCATCGGCGTACTCCACATCGTACGGAAGATGCCGGGCCACAGGTGCAGCCATTCGCTGTCGCACATCCTGCAGGGCAGCTTCCAGGTAGATCACGAATAGAATTGGCGACAAGGAGTCGACTTGCGGGGTACCAATGTTAGTGGAGAAAGAGCTTGATGTTTCCGTGCCCAGTCTGACTGCCAAATTCGTATCTGAGATCAGGTAACGGATCAAGCGTACCTCGTCTTCTTCCAAGAATCGCTGAGCCACGTCCATCAACTGTCCTCGCCTGATCGTGTCAAAGGCACGTGACATGTCGATGCCCAGTATGCTGAATGACCAGTGGTACCGCTGGGTCGTAGCTGCTAACCACCGATGGCACCAGACCACATCAGCTGTTGACCTTCCTGCACGAAAACCACTTTGGTTCAGTGATAGGAAATCGTTTACGGCTGGCGAGATGCGCTTGAGGACTACCAGCGACATGACTTTGCGTAGAGTTGTCAGGAGGATGATCGGTCGCAGACTGGTTAAAGCACCCACCGGCTTTCCGGGCTTCTGGAGAGGTATTAGTGTGCCATGACCGATGAATGGCTCTACCCGGTGTTGCTGAAATAGGCTGTTGATGCATCGGCTTATGACGGGAGCAGTGGCATCGGCTGAGTACTTCAACAGCTCACCCGGGATGTTGTCGGGTCCTGCAGCTCTACCGTTGTTGAGTATTGCTAGTGCTGTTTTCACTTCCTCCGTTGAAACGGGATGCTGCAGCGGTCGAGGCTCCCCAGTGAAGGATCCAAATTGCTGAATTGCAGAGTCACTGAGCTGCGATGAGAAATGATTCTTAATCTCCAAGCTTGCTTGCTTATCATTACATATGATCTTGCCCTGGCTGTCCTTCGACGACTTTCTGCGATGGCTTTCGCCGGAGCAAGTGTACAGCTTGGAACATCTGGGCTCCATCCTTGAGCCTCTCTATCTCCTCTGCTCGCGATATTAGTTCATTTTCTCTGTTTGTGATGGATCTGTTCCTGATATCATGCAGGATTCGATTCCGGTCAGTCCTCAACATTTCTCGCTCGATTGGGTCATCACTGCCCTGAATACGGAGTCGGACATCTCTCTGCATGCAGGAAAGTCTCTCGATCTCTGGGTCATGGTGACGATGACTGGTCTTGGCTGTCACACCCACAATCTCTTTGCCCGCGTGGAAGATCTCTGCAGCTATTGCATCCCATCCGGTGTTGGGCTGATCTTCTGACACCCTCTGAATTCTGTCTGAGATGGCAAATGTTAGCTGATTCTGTAGGATGTTATAAATTTTTTAATTCTCCTATTTTTTTAGGCATATCCTGGGATTCGAACCCGCACTATCGCCCTACATGCATTCCCCCATACACTTCGCACTCATACCCATTCTTCCAAGTTGTTTCACATTGTGATCTTGCATTTGAAAGCCCTATTTGAATATGCATTGTGGCCAGCCGTCTTTGATGGCACGGTACGGTAGGGGATAGGTACGGGACAGGTACGATCGAGGGTAATACGACACCGTCTCCCGTACCGTACCGTACCATCAAACACAGCTGGCCACATACAGATGCCCGCAATATTCAAATAGGGCTTTCAAACGCAAGATAATAACGTGAAGCAACTTGGAAGAATGGGTATGAATGCGAAGTGTATGGGGGAATGCATGTAGGCCGATAGTGCGGGTTCGAATCCCAGGATATGCCTGAAAAAAATAGGAGATTTTGAAAAAATTATAACATCCTATGCTTTTTTGCCGTCAGATACGGATAGCGCCAGGCGTGACACAAACACACAAACAAACAAATACCAAACGAGAGAGCTTGGAAGCTCAGGGCCCTACGCTATGCTTTTTTGCCTTGATGACCTAGACAAAAAAAAAAGCATAGGGATGTTATAAATTCTTTAAAAAATCCTTTTTTTAGACATAACCTGGGATTCGAACCCGCACTATCGCGCGCCCTGCATGCATCCCCCGATACACTTCGCATACATACTAATTCTTCCAAGTTGTTTCACATTGTGATCTTGCATTTGAAAGCCCTATTTGAATATGCATTGTGGCCAGCCGTCTTTGATGGCACGGTACGGTAGGGGATAGGTACGGGACAGGTACGATCGAGGGTAAAACGACACCGTCCCCCGTACCTTACCGTACCATCTAACACAGCTGGCCACATACAGCTGCCCGCAATATTCAAATAGGGCTTTCAAACGCAAGATAGTAACGTGAAGTAACTTGGAAGAATGGGTATGAATGCGAAGTGTATGGGGGAATGCATGTAGGGCGATAGTGCGGGTTCGAATCCCAGGATATGCCTTAAAAAAAAATAGGAGAATTGAAAAATTTCTAACATCCTATGCTTTTTTGCCGTCAGACACGGATAGCGCCAGGCGTGACACAAACAAACAAACAAACACACAAACACACAAATACCAAACGAGAGAGCTTGGAAGCTCAGGGCCCTACGCTATGCTTTTATGCCTTTTTGCCTAGCTCATCGTACATGTTATAAGAACTGATGGAAATGTCTTTTTCCGTTGATTGGCCACATCACTGTATTGCAAAAACGTTTCAATCGGTTTCAATATTATAAGTTAGGCAAAAGTATTTGCAGAATTTATTGCGGATTGTTATTTCTCTAATAATCATCTACTTTTGGTTTGTTCCTTCTTTTCTTTTTATCTCCTTATACTGTAAATCAACAAATTTTGGCCGATGAGAAATAGAAACCTCTCTATTAGAGAGGTTAAGATGCACGTTATTTCCGACGTGACGCGCAATTTCACGTCAAATTTGAAACCGATCGGTATTTTTGCTCTCTCATGCATCCATTGCTCAATCATGCATCATTTGCCTATGTGACAAACTTTGGCCTGCGATTTACTTTGGCCGGTTGGTACCAAGCGGCGAAATCAGCGAAATTAAATCGCCAGCGAAAATTAGTTGATTTTAATACAGTAATCGGATTTTCTGGCCTTTTTGTAGTAATACATGTACATTGACCTGTTGAGCCAATGACTTCGCCGAATGCTTGGTTGCCTGTGGAGCACATTACATAACTTTACAGCCTCCTATAATACGTATCCTGTCCGACGGCAAAAGAGGCTGCAGATTTAGTTTTTCTGCGCGTCGACGGGATGTCTGCGACGCGAAAGTTCAGCTCGCGTTATTTGGCTCGCACGTCGAAAAATCAACGCGAGTGACCTACTGCTCACGTCGAAATTTGGACATTACATAACTTTACAGTCTCCTATAATA